AAATATTTTGTTATCAAAGATAGATAAGAAATTCCATTTTAAAGTTGAGAGGATGAAAATGTCCTTGGAAGGACTGCCTTTGGATGTTATATTTGAAGTCACTATGAGAACTTTCCAGATGAAGTCCAACTTTTCCCAGCAAAAAAAACACTTTATAGAGTAGTATTTCTTCATGTAATTGAGTTTACATGTGTGATACAGGAAAGCAAGCTTATGCAGATTGTTCACTAATGACATTTTCAGAACGTAGCAGAAATGTGGGAAGAGCTGCCCAGAATTTCTTGAACACATGGATGGGCTGACTGAGAGAGTCATAAATACTGGAACAGGTTATGCTTTGTCTTACACAGCAGCAGAGGAAAAAAATTAAATCACCCACCCCCCTTGTTTGAGTGAGAAACCCTTTCCCGTATTTGCCCTGGCATGGTTGTCTCTCTACCTTTAGGAAGTCAGGGAATAGCTCATCTCTTATGAGTATTCTGCTGTCAGAAGTGTAGGAGTTGCTGGCAGTTGTGAGACCCATCTGTGTGCCTCAAAGTGCTGTCTCTACAGTATGTTTTTATGCTACTTCCTGCAGCAGGGCTGGTACTGACACCACGCCTAGCCCGGGACATGCCTAAGGACACAGCAGAGTCCATAATCTGCAATACCACAGTAATTATACATTTTTCAGCCTTGTAATATTCAACCTTGAGGTTGAGGAATCTTTTTCTTCCATTGTTGAGCTGTTGTTCTCTGAGGACAAAAGCAGATCTGCAGTGTGGAAACAATGACTTGGAGTCCGGTTGTGCCCTCGCAGCAGTCACTGGCAAAATTCACACTGAGGCCTACAGGATAAACAAGCCACAGTTCCTATTTTACCCCTCATCCTGAAGTATTCTGGATTGGTTTTAATCCTTCAAGGCCAAGACTTTCACCAGCTAACTGATCTGTGGCAAAAGTAACATGGGATAAGAGACTACCATCATTGCCTGGGACAGCTGCCCTCACCGTCCAGCTTACAAGAAATGCTAAGGCTGGACACAGGACTTTAAGCTGTGTTCTTCTGGAAGATGAGGTCTTTCTGTTACTGCATTAGACATCAACGGTTTGGCAGAGGAAGTTTTTGTTGCTGCCTTCCATGTTAATTCTGCTTGGTACATAAAAAAGGGCTTCAGCTATTTAAGATGGATGCTGTGCTGCAGCAACCTTATGAGGCAAGGGAGTTGTTTCTGCATGTGAAGACTTAGCATTTCCATGAACTTGAAGGTGTGACAATAAAAGAGATGGAAATATTAAGTAGTCACACACATGAATTTTCAACCAGTCATCTGCAGGAGGAACCTACATGTTCCTGGTGCACAGTTAATGAAGTAATATCTCTTACAAGCGTCAAGACTGAATCTAAACAAAGCAAAACCGATCCAGTTACAATGATTTCATAAGTATTAGGTTCCTTATCCACCTGACTGTTTTCATCCAAAGTCATTCAGATTCAAAATTAATGTTGAAAACAATATTTATTCTTCTTCACCATTGTTATTTGCAGGCAAAAGTGATAACACGGCCACGAACAGTGATTTGTTACATATGTGGCCGTGAGTATGGAACAAAATCTATTAGTATTCATGAACCACAGTGCTTGAAAAAATGGCACCAGGAAAATGACAAGCTACCCAAGAACTTGAGAAGGCCAGAACCTAAAAAGCCTGAAGTCAGAACTGTGCAAGGTAAGCTACAGACCAAATTAAGAAATGGGAGGAAGAAAGTAGGAGGAAGAAAAAAAAAGGTAAATTTTAAGCATTAGATTAACAACTTCCAAGTACTTTTTTCTTCAGTTTACTCTCAAGAGCTTGTTTTAAGCTTTCTGTTGAATATTCAGTTCTCTGGCGAAGCATGAGAAGTAAGAGTATTCATTGCCTATGGAATATGCCTCCTGGGACAGTCGTCTTTATGTGTCAGTATGTTCTGAATTGAAACAAAAATAGATTAGCAACCTGCTTCACAGGTAGATCGCTACCTTTTGACTCCTTTCAACAGTGTAGACAGGCATGTTTTAAAATGAGCAGAAACATCCAAGAATAACATGTAGACTTGTCACATACAATAAGTAAAATAAAATACCCTCAGGCAACATAGGTGTAGATACTTCAGCCACTTTCTTCTGTGGACAACATCCACCGGCTATTATTGGTCCCTTTCAATTTACAGGCCTTAGAAGCTTTCATTGTGAGACACTATAATATAAACACAGAGGAGAAAAAAATATATGTAGCATAAAATAAACATTTTATATCTGCCAGATGTTTATGCTGTGGGTTCTCATTTGTAAGGTCCCACTTCTTAAAATCAATGAACGTGGATGATCCCCAGCACCCACAGAGATGGACTCCCATATGTATCCCAGTGGGTGTGGTCACTGTGGGACCAAAATGAAGTTTTATCCATGGTTTGCCTGGAAGCTGTTCCCAGGACTACCCCGTTCACACATAAAGTTATTTCACCTTTTCTGCTGGATGCTTTCCCTGGCCCTGTCAGCTGGTCTGAGCTACTTTGGGCCAGGTTTGGACCAGTTCCTCACAAGCAGTTAATTCACACACACTTTTGTTTTATATCCCCCATAATTTCCCTCAGCTTCCCCGATGTCTGGAAAAGTAGACAAAGTCTTCTACAACTCACCGTGAAAGAGTTGTATGCTAGATCAGTTTACAGCAGTACAAAGAAATATGTCCTCAGAAGACACACAGAAGAGAGCAGGACCACTGCAAACACTAACCAGCCGTTCAAAATAATAATCAAAGCTCAAATAATATCAGATTGGAAGTTGGTTAACAGATGCCAAGTGGCAGAGTCGAATCTGCAGTAAAAGATATGTTGAAAGGACATTTTCATTGTATTTGGTCTTTTAGTTGTTAAGCTCTTTTTAATTATTACATGTTGTGTGGTAAAACAGAGAAAATGAGAATTTCATCTGAAAGAGGAGGATGCAAAAGGACAAATCAGCTTATTTTGAAATACACTGTACTTCCTTTGAAGGAGTGGAAGCAGAAAGACTTTGAGAAAACAATCTAGCAGAAGGCTCCCAGATATGAATCAGAAACTTGTCTCATTTATGCAATGAGTCATATCAGGCGCCACACATGTCCTATGAGGTGTTGTGTGCCCACAGTTCCCTGGGGGCACTGACCTGTTTCCAGCATCTGTCCCTAAACGCCTGCTGATGCAAGCCTGATCCGTTCTGCAGCTTGAGCTGAAATTGTTGTTCCCCCTGCAGTTGCCTCATACTCCTGCCCTAGAGAAAATAATCTCAGTTGTTGTTCTTCTTCCGTAAGACTTACCCTCGATCATCCGGTAAATGCTGTAACTGACCTTGAGACCACATGCATGTACTGCATGTCTCACAGGTTCTCAGCTTGCTGGGGAGAGATTACCCCTGTTGTTGAATGGAACAGGCAATGTTCAAAAAAAGTTCAGAAATATTAACTGCTTACATAAAACTTTTTATAACTTACATAAATCTTTTTCTGAAAACTAAGTGTCACCAGAAGACAACCACTGCCCTCATTACACAGTGTTTTGTTTGTGGAATGCCTAACACATGCCTGCAAGGAGAAAGTCATCTCTCTTTCTCTCTCCCTCTCTCTTACTTTTTTTTTTATTTTCCATAAACTTTCCAAAGTACAGAAAATACACATTCATTTCCTGCAAGCAAAGGGGATATTTGTCTCAGCCAAGAAAAGAAACACTACTTGGTTGCTCTTCTAACAAAAAGAACATTAGGAACAGGCATATTAAGAGATCTAAGGCATATTGTGGTTATGTGAACCATTGGATATGAATCATATTAAAATTGTATGGGCCTTTAATGAAGAACTCTATCATGTGCCAATGACAGAAACCATGGAATATTTTTAAATGCACAAACTCTTTTCTTTTAAAAATTGTCCACTGCTAACAGTTCAAAGACAAAACCAGATTTTAAAATCTTTTTCTATAGTGTCATATTATTTGAGAAGGGTGAAGCAAATACATCAAGCCATGTGGATTTTTTTTTTAATGCATGTACTTCAAATGAAAACTCTTAAGATCTAAATCCAGGTATTAAGAAATGTGCCTGGCCTTTTTGCTAATCAGTTTGAAACAACACTATGTGAAAGTCCATTTCAAAAGGAAAGTCCAATTCAAGATGAAAGTAAATAAGATTTTTTTAATACCCAAATAAAGTCTTGAAAATACATCTAAGTATTTGAAAAATGATCCTGAGTTTTCAGAGCAGTCATGCTTCCCACAGTGGAAAATAACCAAGGATAAGTATGCATTAGTGTTTAGATGACAATAGATGCATCAGTGCAATGACCTCACAGGAAGTTGTGGCTTAAAAGTACTGCAGGTTTTGTCTGTAAAGTTTTAGCTTATCTAAGCTTTACTCCACTTTTTGGCAAAACTTGCATAAACTACAACAGGAGGAAAATTGGGCCCCTTGTCCAGAGCGGTACAAAGAGCATATTCTCAAGTGTGATACGCTCCCGCCCATAGCCACGGTCAGATAACACATGCTCATTAAACAGAACTTGAAGTAAAGCCAAAAAGTGAATTTGCTGATAATAGTATGTATGCAAAGATGTTAATAATTAGCTGAGAATGCAGATCATAACACACAGCATGATGTTTTCTCTGTACTCTCATACAATACAAAACGATTCAGTTTGAAGTTAATTTAATTCAACCCCTGGGACAAAAAGCAGAGTATTTTTAATATATTTTTTACTCTTTTGCTTCTTTCTTTTCTTTTTCATTTGCAAAAGCAATATGGTTTGGTTAAACTGAAAGGCTCAGTCAACAGGTATTTCCTGAAAATATTTTCCATAAAGAGTTGAATGTGGGTCTCCAGAATGAAAGCTGATACTTTCTTTTTCTAATTTTCCAGCCAAAGGTTTCTATGATCTTGATTCTTTAAATGAGGCTGCCTGGACCAGCGCCCAGAACCAGCTAGTTCCATGTGATATTTGTGGACGTACTTTTCTTCCAGACAGACTAATCGTCCACCAGAGGTCCTGTAAACCGAAACCTGTGTGAAGATGGTGTAACACATATGCATACAAATGCATGCCTGCTCACACACACACACAAGTTTATCCTAAGCTCAATAAAATGTGTATGTGTGCATGAATACACACACATGCACCCATACCTTTCAGCCAAACCATGAAAGAAATAAAAGCCAGCTGGAAAGTCATGGCCACCATGTTGTGTGTCATCATATCATGTTCTCCAAAAGTCAGCAGTTGGTACTAAAGTGTAAGTTCAGATATGGAAAATTAGTTCTTTGAAAATTTTGTTTCCCCTCTATCAAAGACTTTTTTTGTTAAGGTAAGAAGCTCTAGCTGAACTTGACTAATCAGAAATACCAAGTAGCTCCTTTAAGTTTGTTCTTTTTCATATGTATTTTTTTAGTTTGTTTGGGTTTTGGTGTCCTTGCCCATCTTTGGCACAAGTCTGTTTAAGGACTCCCACTCAGAGTTTAAATCCATGGAGCACTCCAGTGTTCACATCCTTGTGGGACAGTGCATCTCATGAAGCCCTTGACTGCTACAACTGAAACATTCCCTTATAAAGGGATCCTGTCATGGAGTAGAAGCAGACACTGGCTGTTTTTAGAAAACAAAAGTGCCCTCTCCTCGGAGCATTTCTTGCTTAAGAATGATACTGACCATGTGATTTATCCTCAGCTCAGTAAACCGATCATGCCAAAAGTTTTATAAGTCAGAAGAGCACATCTTTGTCATGAACTTTGTAAAAGAAAACACATTTTTATGTCAAGACAAAACAAGCATGGTGTGCCAGATAGCTGGCACAAAATACCACCCTGCCCTCTGTACCCAATGTGGCCATAACAGAGGGCCAGTACTGGCAAGAAGGGTAGGTATTATACAAGAAAGTCATAGTGAGGGGGTTTGAAGGTGCTATTTTGAAAAATGCTATTATGTTATGTAGCAGAATCAGTGCCAAAACACATTGGTGAATAGGTTAAACACATGAAAGAAGTAATACTCACTTTAACAAGGTACAGCAAAGAGCAGTTATTATTATTTTACTTACTCTGAAATGTTTTATTAAGTGGTGAGGTTATTCAAAAGGTATAACAAAATCCAATACAAGTTGTGAACCAGCAATCAAGGCTCCCTGATACCATGAAAGAAGCTGTACCTCATGTGTGGTTTCTTATTTGGGCTTAAGGCCTAGAATTGACAGTTATGTTTTGTGTGACCGATGTGACCTTTCTCAGAGCAATCACCCTTACTATTGTACTTACAAATCAGATGAGGTGGATGCCTTCATACACACTAAAATGAAATATGGGTACCAGCAACTTTTCCAAGTTATCAAGCTGTGTGATTTGTGGTGTAAGTGAAATAAGAAGTAATATCATTGTTCTGTTATTAGAGGAACGCTCCTGGCTCCAGCCCTGGTAGGCTGTTAATTCAGACTGGGAGAAGTACCAGCATTCCTTGGTGAAAATAATTTCCAAAACAATCAATGGTACCTCAGCAGCCCTTTCTTCTTCAGAATGAGGATTGTATAGTCTGAAGATAGAGATCTTCAAGAGTCAAAGGTTCAGTTTCTGTTCTACAGAACGAAGCTGTGTAAACCTTGCAGATCTGTCCTTGTTAGTGTCTCCAGTATGAGAGGTGCTGGCTGAGCTGGACTGGTGCCATCCCTCCTCCTTTTGGCTGTGAGAAGGCATGTGGCCTGAGGAAAAAAGAACAGGGGCGCTGGTTTGTGATTGCTAGACTGGCTCCTATGAGCTGTTGGCAGGCAACGTACACTGTGAGACCCTGAGGCTGTTCTAAGTCACACCTAGTGTTGGCCTACTGACAAGCTGTTTGGTAATTGGAGGATTATGGATACAATCTCATCTTTGTGTCCCCTCTTCCTGTTCTTCAAACTCTCTTTCTTTTCTCAAACATGGTAAGCAATTTTTGGCTAAATATGCCTCACTGGCTCATCAAGATCACAACAGAGTCACTTCTAGAGCAAAAGCATGTTTTAAAGAAACTAAGCCTTTGCAGACTCACTGCAGTCTTTGGCTTTAAAAACTTAGCCCTGCCATTTGGTGGGATTCAGAGTCCCTGTGTCCTTCTGAACATTGGACTCGGAGTCCTGATGATTTTAAATCTGTCATAAATTTCACCCAGAACAGTATTTTTGTGTTTCATTGTCAGCTTTACATTTGTATATTTTTCTGAAATTTTATCTCAAAAAGCAATAAAAATCTGATGAGCTGAGCTGTGTGTTTATAAACAATCAAAAGGGTACTGATAGCAACTGTACTTTTTAATGCGCTGTTGTGTCTTACCCAGAAGTAGCAGTGTGTGGAAGCTCCTGAAGCCGTAAGTCTGGAGTATGGTTTCCGTATCAACTTTCAAGGAAGTCAAATGAGGGTTTAGCAAATTAAGAGCTGTCTCTGCTAATAGGTGATTGCTGCTGAGCTCTGAATTTAACGTGGGATGTGTGAAATGGTGAGCCTTACCACTCACAGAGTCAAGTCAACATTGGGTGGTGAGGGCTGATGGTGAGACGGGAGCATGCAGGAACTCAGCAGGAGGCAACAGCCCTCACATCTCAAAGGTTATAGCATCCACTTCCCTCCACAACATCGCGGGTACTGTGATTTCCAAAACCTGCTGAAATGTCAAAAGCACTGACATAGAAGTGCATATTGTTCCATTTCAAAGACTGTCACTGACATCTCCAGGTTACTCTGTTACAAGATTTTCTGCTGAGCTCACCAGCCCTGGTGTTATTGTGTGCCAGTGGTGATGGTGAGTTCTATTGCTAACTTTGTACACTGGCAGAAGCACTGATGGCCTTCATGGTTTGCTCTCAGCAGAGTTAAAATGAGACCTTATGAGCATTTTTCATTATTGCTTGGCATGTATCATTCTAACTTTTTTGCAGGAGAGGAAAAGGAAATGAGAAATTGAGCTGCTTTGCTTCCTTTGTTTCCATACTTCAGTGATTTGTCACTTTAACCTTATCTCATCCACTGTTGGCTCAAAGTTAATTCCAGCTCAATCCCGTGTTTCCTACTGCCACAACACATTTAAAGAGCTGAAAAATGTTTTCCGGTACTTCAAAAATAATCACATGCCATCTAGTTTGCCACAAATGTGCTGATAGCAGCTAAAATTATTCCTGGACAAAATATACAGAAAGTTGGAACATGGATTGACAAGCAAAGTCCAATCACATTAAACAAATAAGCATGCACTTTCAGATCATAAATAAAAGCCCTGACTTATGCTTTAGTTCAGCTAGTTGAACCTACCAGTTCCGAATAAAAAATAAGACATTTTAGAAAAGCAATTCTGAAGATCATGGTCAAACTAGAGAAGTATAACTGCAGACTTCAAAAATTGGGCAGTAATGAAAGAACCTATAGCTGCAGATAAATATTATATGTAAAATAGTATAGTTTAGCAAGCTGAGAGTGCCAGTCCTTTAGTTACCATACAAACTTCAAAAGGTCTTGCATCTTTAAAGCAGTAGCCAAGAACAGGCCTTGTAGGCTTTAACAAAATGTTTTCATGGACCTTTTTTCTTAAAGACTACCAGCACCTATAAGATCACACCTTGAGGAACAAAAAATTTGTAAATGCAATGTCAGTTTCTATCTAAAAGATAGTGAGAACCTGCATAAGTCTGTGTATTCTTTCTGCATGGCACAGACTTGGAAAGCATATAACACCGTATATAAATGATGTTTTCAGCACTGCCTCCTGACACTTTGCATGCTTGAGATTTAGTTCAGGATTAGTATACATGATATTTTATTCTGTACTCACTGAAGCCAAATCCTACACTAGCATATGGGTGCAGAATGGAACCAGGAAAGCTAAGAGATCTATCTGATACTGACATGTATATTGTCTTAATCAAATTAGGTCCTGCAGTTTTTTATAATGGCACACAAGCTTTCATGGCTTGTGTTTGTTAAACAATAGAATTTCATAGTTGAGAATTTTGTTTTTATTACCCATTTCAGAGAACTGGTCCATGAAGAAGGAATTCTAGGTAGGCTTTAGTCTGAATCAGAGGTTCCTGTCTACTGAGATGATTAGTTTTGTTTCACTGTCAGTGGGATAAAGTTTCTGAATTCTGTATTTCTGAACTGTGTCAACCACAGTGGGTTTGAATGAGTTTGCTGTGTTTGGAGGCATGCCATCCTCAGCTACACAGTAGGATCATGCAAAAGCAGGATTCAACAGGGGCATGAGGTCCACCAAAAAAAACTACAAGCCTGGAAAACCCTCTAAGAAGTTGTCTGAAGGACTGTCTACATTCTTGCATGCTGTTACTCACTTATTCCTTGGTCAATATCTTAACTGACATACACAGAGTATTGTTGGCTCTGAAGCATGCAAGGATTAGAGATTCATCCTAAATCTATAGTTCTTAAAAACTTCTGGCATTTGTAGTTCAAGAAAAAGAATTTATAATCTGCATAGAGTTGAGAAGAAAGAGATTACAATAGAACTGGAAAATTTACCTGACAAGTGAGACTCCAGCAGCCCAGACTATTTGACTTTTAAAAAAAAGATTAAGTGCATCACTAATAGCTTGTATCCAGATTACAGAGCCTTCATTCCAGAAGAAAAGATTTAACAATTTCCAAGGCAGGAATTTGATGCTTAACAAACTCAGAAATAACAAACTCAGAACTTTCATTTAGTGGAGCAGATTACTGAGATTTGCAGTGGATTGTCTTTGGCAGGATTTTTGCAAACATGAACTTAAAAAAAAAAATTAGGCATAAGCATAGGTCTAATATGTATAAAATTAGGTATTACAGTATTACAGTATAGCCTGTGGAACATAGAAATAGAAAATTCTTCCAGATTGTCATGAAATCTAATAATTGACATATAATTTTCAGGATAAAAACCAATTTGTTAAAGTCTAAGAAATAAATTGCAAGTAGCTAATGGTATCTCTGAATTAGGTATTAAAGACTTCAAAGGTAGCAATTAAAAAGAAGAAACTGAAAGATGCATATTTTTAAAAGGCAGCCACAT